GTAGCCTTCAGTTCATACAGATTAAATCCAAGGCATAGGGGCGCCTGGGTGGCTCAGACAGTTAAGCATCTGCCTTCGGCTCAGGTCATGATCCCGGGGTCCTGGGATCAAATCCCACTTCGGGCTCCTTGCTCAGCGGGGAGTCTGCTTCTCCATCTCTTCCCTGCTCGTGCTCTCTGTCTCTCAAAGAAATAAATAATATTTAAAAAAAAAAATCCAAGGCATAAACAAGGTCCATGAGTTTTATACTGCCATGGTATTAAAGGGAAGAGGTATTTTAAATTACATTGGAAAAGCATTCTTGTTGCCTTACTTTTTTTTTTTTTAAAGGCCAGAAACCTGTTTTGATTCAGTTGTCTTATATATTAGCACAAAGCAAAGAGGTTTAGGGAAGTTGTGTTTTTAGGTTTTTTAGGTTATCTGAGCGGGTGATTCAGGTACAAGGAATATTCTTGACTACCTGCTCATTGGCTGGACTGCATGCTATAATCATGGTCATGCTCGTTATCCTGTTTCATCTGCTAACAACCTTGGGAAAAAGACATTATTATCCCTGTTTTTCAGAGGGGGGTAAGTGACTTGCCCAAGGTAAGTGATAGGACTACAATATCTCAACTAAGACTCTTTCATTTTGCTGCAACAGAAATGTCTGTCAGGGACAAGGACCCTGAGAGAAAAATGTAACATTAATACTTTTCAATAAATAAAATTTATTGCCAACAGTTAATAACCAGTTAGGAATTATTAAGAAATAAATTAATGAGATCATAAAAATGGAATTGAAGGCTCACAGTGGCAAACAAAACAAGACCACCCCATAGACTCTTTGCCTCCCTTCCTACTTTTTTTTTTTTAAGGATTTTTATTTATTTATTTGACAGAGAAAGACAGCGAGAGAGGGAACACAAGCAGGGGGAGTGGGAGAGGGAGAAGCAGGCTTTCCGCTGAGCAGGGAGCCCGATGCGGGGATCCCAGGATCCTGGGATCATGGGATCATGACCTGAGCCAGGATCCTGGGATCATGGGATCCTGGGATCATGACCTGAGCCGAAGGCAGATGCTTAATGACTGAGCCCCCCACGCGCCCCCTCCCTTACTACTTTTTGAAGAAATTCTCAGTTTTCATAATATTGAGTGTAAAATGTGGAGGTAGGGGAATGGCTCTGGTCAGACTGTGTATTAGGAACTTGGTTTTTTAGTTTGGTGATCTAAAATAGAATCCTGCCCTTTCTCTTCTCCCCCGATGACAACTCAAGGTTGGTGACTTTACTTTTGGATGTTTGGGAGGGGAGCAAGGTGCAGGGAAAGGAGTGAAAGAAATGAATTACCTGTATCAGAACATGCTTTAAATGAGGAAAGTGACCCTTAATTGACCAAGGCAGGGATTTGGAGATAACACATAAACTGTTCTTTTCATGGCCGGCTGGGCTCCACAAGTCATCAGAAAGCCACTTAAACCTTCCTTCCCTTCAGCTGCCTCTGCTCCTTTCTCTGTGTGTCCCATCAGCATCTGAAGTCTTCTGCCAGTAAAGGCCAGGTCGTTTCTCCCAGCTTCTGTCTCATACATACCAGGGCTGACTAACAGGCGGGAGAGGGAGGTGACAACGTGCCCAGGAACTCTGGGATGGCTTTTCCCTCCCACTCCCAGCTTCCCTAGATGGAAAACTTCCAACCATTGTTTCCACTGTTAGGGATGCAGGTCAACCTCGACATAGTTTTTGATCCTTCAGGATTTCATGGAACCTGAAAAGGTGATCCATCATATGTCTTTATCAGATTGTTACTTATTTTAATGGTTCACCAAGTGACAGCCAGAGTTAACTTGTGAACTGTGACATGAATGAAAAGGTGATTTCCGGAATCACAAGTAGAAACATGAGTGAGAGGAAGGAATTTGCATCCATTTCCTTTGAGAATTTTGGCTGTTTTCTGAGGAGTCTGGTCTGGTCTTAAGGGTTAGAGTTTTTTGGTGAGGTTTTTTTTTCCTCGTTAGGAAACCTTTAGAGTCTTTTGGGACAACCTTCCAAAGAGGGGCCTTTGAGGGTTCAGATGTTAGCAGTAGCTGTTTCCTGCAGGTTTTTCACCTCTGGGCCCTGCAGTGCTGTTCCCAGCCCACAATTAGGCATTGGTTGGGGATTAGGCATCACCCAGGGAAGACTGACAGCAGGTGAGCGGGCAGCTGGAGCAGATGGAAAGGGGAGGGTGACAAGGGAGCCTGTTGTCATGCAGATGTTCTCATGCAGAGGCTCAAAGGTGCAGAGGGAACAGGTCAGGACTAAAGCAACAGAAATGATTTGGTATAGGGTTTGTTTTTGTTTGCTTTAGACTTAATGGAGAGAGTAGGGGTACACTGGGGGGCTTGGATTGTGACCACCGAGGAAGGTTCTGTCAGAGGAGAGTGAGGCTGTTCATTTCTTTACTCATTCCTCAAGCATGTCTGCTGGGCAGGGTACTAAGCATCAGGGATGCAAAGAATAATGACTCTGACCTTAGGGAAGAGGCAGTCTGGAGAGAAAGACACACGACTCAAACCGTCTGTGCCAGGGCTGTGTGAAATTTGCAGAGGGACACGCAGAGGCATCTGGGGGAGCATGGGAAGGCCAGGATGTGCATCCCAGAGAAAGCAGATTTTTTCTTCGTTTTTACATGAGAGAGAGAGAGAAGAAATACACACTCTTGGTTAAAAGTTTACACTGTGCAGAAAGGTACAGACTAAAAGTAACTCACATTTTTTCACGCTTTTTTTTCTGCCTTCATCCTAAGTGGTAATAGCCATAAAATTAGAGGCTTGATGTATAATTATACTTTTTGCTTAATACATCGAAAGAAGGACAGAAGTATTACAATTTAAAATGTTTTATCCACTTTCCCTCATCCACTATGTCAGTGAGTCACAGATCATACCCAGGGAAGCACTGCCGATTTGCCTCTGAGTTTAGATGTGGGCAGATGACCCCCGACCCAGCAGATGAACCATTGCAGCAGGAGACAACCAAGGCAAATGGTGGTCCCCATGAACGGCTGCGGGGTATTGTAGAAAGACACCAGGTTAAGGCTCCAAAGGCCTGGCACTCCCACTTCCTAGCTGGCAGCGATCTGCAGTTCAGCCCCCTCTCCCAAGATCGTCTTCTCATCTGTAACAAGCAACCAGCGATGTCTTCCCTAATGTGCTCTGCAGAGTTACTGTGCAAGTCACGTGCACAATATGTGCTAAGGGCCTCTGAAAACTCTTGAATTGCCCCGAGTATATAAACAGTTGATCCCCTGAAGTTTTGTTCTGCTTCTCTCTCTGCCGTGCACCCTAATGGATGGAGCGTGCCACCATGATGGTTGAGCGCACGCACCAAATTGTCAAACGACCTATGTCCGGATACTGACTCCACCGCTCACTCACTGTTTGACCTTGAGCAACCTGTTTAATCTCCCCCAATCTTGGTGCCCTCATCCGTAAAATGGGGACAGTGATAATCAGAGTTCGTAGGGTTGTTTTGAAGATTTGATGAATTGTCCAGGGAAATCAGGCCTCTCCCTGGGCAGGCAAGGGTTGAGAGAGGTCAGATCAGAAAAGGCAAAGCACTGCAATCGTATTTTGACTGGTAGAACAGATGGGAGCACATTTCCATAACCTCATCTTGTGTTGAGAACTGCCATTATGTTGAGCAGTTGTATATGCAGGTGGGGGACAGCAGCCCCTCTCTCTGAAAGCTCAGAAATCCAAAGCTCTCCACCAAGACTCCCGGCAGAAGAGAGGAAGGAGCTGATTAAGAGACGGCTCAGATGAAGATGCTGTGCATGCTCTGTTGCAGCTTAGGCAGGGGCTGAGTCTGCCGTTGGCCTTGCTCCTGATGTGTTGGAATACACCCTGGGAGGGGCCAGGGTGCAGCTGGATGTCAGTGGAGGTGACAAGTGGCAGGTGTGTGTCCTCACACCAAGAGGATCTGGGCTCCATCAGTCCATCCACTCCACCCCTGCCCCCCTGTTCTTCTTCAGTGGAACTGAAAGAGATGGATGAGGGGCTCTAAGAGACAGTTGTGTACACTAGCCAATGTGGAGCTAGCTCCCAGGAGAACACAGAGCAGCCTACTCATCCACCACGGAAATCAGCAGCTGTCCAGATGCTCAGGGCCCAAGTAGAAATAAAGAAAAAAAAAGGCACCTAGTAGAAATTGGGTCAGAAACCAAATGCCCTCTTATAAAAAGGGAATTGTACAGCTGAGCATCTGTGATTTTTTTTTTCTTCTTCTGCTTCTTCTTCAGGAGTCTGATTGCTCTTTCTCTTCCTCCCTTACAGAAAATGAAGGAGTACCTGGAAGGCAGGAACCTCATCACCAAGCTACAAGCCAAGCACGACCTTCTCCAGAAAACCCTGGGAGAAAGTGAGTGTCGGCATTCTGCTGGAGGTTTGGCAGTGAGGGGAAGGCCAAGCCCTGACCTACATGGCTGAGCCTCCATCCTGAGCCCCATGGGCCTGATCTTGTTATATGAATGCATTTCTTTTCCTAGCCTGTTTGATGTGAAGCTCACCGCCCCAAATGACTGCTTGAGTAATGGGAGAAGGCCAATGCTTAATGAAGCGCTAATGTGCATCATCTATTTGTTTAAATGGAGTGAGGCTGCTCTCCACCCTGTCCCCCTTCTCTGCCATGACTGGGATAAAGGAGCCGATGGATCCCTTACTCTCCAGACACTTCGTTAAAACTCTCAGCTCCTCTGAGGCGGGACGGAGGTAGTAGCCAGCAGGCGGGGCCAGCGAGCCGAGATAGCAGCGGGTCTGAGGAGAGGAGCAGCTTCTCAGAGGCAGGCCTGACCCACAGACTGCTGCTTCCTGTAGCATCAGGTTAAAGCATCTCTTTCTTTCTGTTTCGGAGCGTCCTGACGCTCAGTGGCAGCTCTCTCTGCCGTGGCCATGCTGAGGCCATGGTACTGAATGGCCTGTCTCGTCCATGAATCAGGGATGATTTTAACCAGACCCTGGAAAGTAGCAAAGCAGAGAACTGGACTGGCACTCTGGACTTTCTCTTCTCAGCTGTCAAACAGAAGGCAAAGGTTGAAAGAGAAACTTCCCTGGGGTTTTGGGCACCCTGCCCGGGTCCTGCCTAGCTCTCAGCATCCTGTGATTAATGGGATTCCCAGGTTGGGGATGCCTCTGAATGCCTGGCCCCGCCTCCCTGCCCTGCTCATCTCTTCACTCCAAGATGGGGCCAGGAGGCCACAGGCAGTATATGGTAACACTGGTGAAAGGCAAACCTGCAGAGAAGGCTCACATTTTAAAACAAACTCTTGAGCGCTTTTCAGACGAACTGCAGAGTGTAGAAAAGCATGGGGGTACTTGTTGGCTCATTGGCGTCAGGAATGAGAGCCACACTTTTCATACCAGAGCCTCCCACCCGCTCGTCCCGTCCCATGCTCTTCCTGCGCTGGATGGTTCCCCCAGATGCTGAATTCTTTTTATCTATGATATCTTTGATCTTGTGATTGTAAAGGCATTTTCTTTTATGTGAGGAATGCCTGTTAGGTAACTTCTGTTCTCTTTCCTCCCCGCCACCCAAGAGACTCAGGTTGAACAGGTTTGGGCATTGAGAGCCCAGCTTTGCTTATAGAAAATCTTTACTCTTGGGTTATCAGATCGCTTCATAGGGAATCAGAGGAAAGAAAGCCCAGAACTATTTGAAGCAAGTTATAACCATGATTTTTTCTTTTTTCTAAAATAATATAAGCATAGCCCATAAGTGAGATGGGGAGCAGAGCCTTGGGAGTATGTATGTCTGTGTGTGTGTGTGTGTGTGAGTGTGAATGGGTTTGCACACACACAAACATGTACCAGATTTGCTACTGTGGAGGGGCAAAGGTTGGTGACCATTCATTAGTGCTGCAAATTGCCTTCATCTAAAGATGACAAGTTCTAGCAATAAGGAAAGAAATAGCTGCAGATCTTCCTGTGTGCAAGTCATCATGTCCCTGCCTCCTGAATGTATTTATCACCATAATGCAAGAGCCCCTTATTCTTGCCACAGAGGGATAATTGATGTGTATGAATATTCCAGAATGGAAATGGGACAGATGTTGAAAATAATGGCTCAGAATAATATTTTTGCAGATGAAAGCTGAGCCTTTAGTAATGAGAGGCTGTTAGGGGAGGGGGAGGATGTTGCTCAGGATGAGCTGAAGTGTAATCAACAATTAGCAACCTTTAAAGGCAAGGAAAAAGCCCTGCCCTCCCCCGGTCCTTGGAGTTGTTTTTCCAGGAGCTTGGATGAGGCCTGTGGGGGATGATCTCGTCCCCAGCTCAGCACCTGCTTGCGTTGCCCCTGGTTTATCTAATACAGACCATGCTTGGTTAACTGTGGATCCAAAGAAAACAAATAGATCACATCATGGCTGATGTACACATGCATATGTATTTTTTTAGAAACATAAGAATTCTTAGGAACTTTAAGATTTTTCATTTTTTAAAACTGGCTGTGACCCATTAAACTTAATATTAGGGCCTGCTATTGGATTGAGAACCACAGTTTGATAGCAATTAAATCTCATTTCTCCCTTGTCACCCCAGCCCAACCTAAGAGAATTTCATAGGAATCTAAAACTAGAACGTCCTTATCTTCTCCCTCTTCCCTGCAAACAATTCTTGCTTCCTTCTTCCCCTGCCGCCCTTACCGTGTGTGTGTGTGTGTGTGTGTGTTTTCATTATTCTGGAGCAAACAAGCTCATCCCTCCCTCCCTCCCTCACCACACACACACCCACATACACAGAAGAGAAGCTGGATTTCACCTCTGGGAAGGCTTCTGGTACTTTGTTCTCTAAAGCATGACCCGCCTTGCTATTGTTCCCCTAAAGCCACCCCTGTTTTCCCTTTGGGAAGCGGGGTCGGCACACCTAAGCTTTAGGGACATATAGGTAGCCCTGGGAACAAACATTAGAAACAGCACCTGCCCAGGAAGAGGCTCTGGGCGTTTCTCTTCTTTTTTGCTAGCGCCGTGATGCTAGCGGCTTTCTAGGGAGACGGGAGGGCATTTCAGGTAACCCCTGGGAATAACCCTTCCTCTCCCACCCCTTCTGCTTCCACATGAGCTTTTTGCCTTGTCTTTCCAACAGGTCAGCGGACAGATTGCAGTCTGGCCAGGTAGGTGTGGCCCGGGACAGCGCTGGGAAGGGATGAAGAGAGGCCCGTGGGGTAGAGCAGTCCCTGGCTGGGAAAGAGCCGAGGAGTTGAAGCGTGAAGGCCTTGGGTGACTGCAAAGGAGGGGACTAGGGCAGGGGTTGCTTCCTTCCCTTTGCTTAGCCGAACCCATCTATCCTCAGATGGAAATGGGGTCTTCTGTGACTTGGGGAGAGAGCTGAGCAGAACGGGATGAAGGGAGTTATCATTTGCAGAAGTAATTTCAGAGACTCCCCAAAGCCATTGGGTTTGCAAGGAAAAGAAGTGTTCGACTCTGGAGGATCCTGGTAACCTACCCTTAGCTGCTAGACTTTAGCACGTGGTTTTGGGGAAGTCTGACCCAGAGAAGGAAGATCAGAAGATAGCATTTGATCTGAGATTTTCTGCATGGAAAGATGACAGCCCCTCATTAGGGACTGTTGCTGGATAATGAAATACTACATTGCACTGGCTTGCCAAACAACATTGGTAGAAATCCTTGCCTGATGTACAAGTATGCAACCCTCCCAGTCTTTCCCCACCGCCCCCTCCCTCCCTGACCCCAGCCAAATATTTTCCCTCCCAGTCATGTAGCTGCTATGAGAACACTCGTGAGCTGGCGGAGAGCAAGGCATTCATCCAGCCAACAGTTCTCAGATGCCTAAAAATGTGCTGATTTAACTGGGGAAAGAGCTTTAATGGGCTGGACTCCTTGGAGACCCTGGGTTAGCCCATTATATCAACCACTTCTATCTGCCAACACACACACAATAATCATGAGGCCATTTACAATTATAGGCTCATTATTTAGAAATAGCTTCATTTGGCTTTCATCGTTTTATCATTGTGGATTACAGTAAAGATCCCGTTAATATACCAGTCTTGTTGACTGGAGGGAACCAGGATAATGGAATTCCGTGGCATATATATCTTCTTGGTGATAGAGTCTTCCTGTAAGTTCACCTGAAGTCCCGTATCTGTGGAAGGCTCTATGGGAGTGAAAAAAAGCTAAGTTGAATTCCCTTATGCTGTGTGACCTTGGGCTGCTCTTTTCCCTCCTTCGAACTCCAGTTTCCTCACCTATAAGACAAGAAAGAGCATTCTACTATATCTGAGGAGCTCTAGGATTCCAGAGAGGTTCCTCAGGAGCGGCCTGGTGGAAGGGGCAGAGGGAGCCCGGCAGCCAGGCTCTGGGCCTTCATGTCACCAAACGCAGGGGAGCGCTGCTCTCCTTGCTTGGGGGATTGTGTCTAAGTCCGAGTCCCTTGGAGAAGAGGCGTCTGAGCTTGCAAGGCATTCACCTGAAGGACTGCCATGGTTCCTTCCAGTCTGGCTGCTCTGTCCTCTAAACTCTAGGAAAATTGCTCCCGAAGGATCTCCAAGAGAAAGAAAACTGTAGCTTCCTTTAGCGTTTCCTTGTGTCTCCTGCAAACAGAGATGATCTTATTGTCTAACGCAGATACATTTTACTGCACGTTGAACCAGTTCCTTCCTACTCTAGTTTTGAATGGTTGCAGATAGTAAGTACAGAGACCTCTGTGCTCTGAAAGAGCTTCATTGGGCTTTATTCGGAAAGTAACTTAGCAAGTCTCTTAGCTGGTTCTGGGACTGAGCTGAATAATGCATCTTGCTTCATTAACTAACACACAGATTGTTTTTAATCCCATTTTCTCTTTTTTCTCCCTGGTGCCGGTTCGGTTCTCTCTGATTTGGCGGGGTCAACTGCAGGCGTAGCTCAACCGTGAGGAAGCAGGTAAGGGCCCAGCAAGAGCCAGTCTGGTCGGGTGTGATGATCACATCCCACGGATGGAACCCTACTGTGGGCAGGACAGACACTTTCCTGACTTCCTGCCTGCGTTCGGGAGATACCATTCAGTCAGAGTACGTTTCATATTATATTGACTTCATTGATTGAGCTGGTTCAGCTGGAGTCTTTCTGACTTACTCCTCCCTCTCTAGTCGTGCACCCTCTTCCTTGCTGGAGATTTGGTTTGACTTAGCAGATTGTGCCAGACATGCCCGTGGTGTCACTTCTCTGGGAAACCATGAAGGGGGCCTCACATTTTATACATAAGCTCCAAATGTGAGTAACTCGCAGCAGCCAGTGACCTAGACTAGACTGCTGTAGGTTTGCAGATTTTTTTTTTTCCTGGTGTTGTGGTCATCCTAGATGCATTTCTTAGACATGCTGAAAATGCGAGATAAATCTGACCTGAGAATGATTGGCAAATTGATGTTCAATTCTGTGCTTGCATGATCGTTAGTGTTGTATTAAAATCTGACGCTGGTCAGCCAGCTCTCCTTACCCATCTGAGGGCAGGATCTTAGAAGGCAGGGGCTGGGTAATGCACATCAATGGATAATCTAAATAGTACTTGTGCTTGTGTAAAAAAAAAAATTCATTTAAGTGTTTTTTGCAGTAGCAAATTTGACTTCCTCATTATACCTTATTGCAAATACTGAAATGATTTTGTGTCCGCTAAGCTCATACGAGCTATATGTAGCAGCAGTTAGCAGGGAGGAGGTGGGGAGAGCTCCAAAATGTCTTGTGTCTACTCAGAGGAAAACTGATGCAGGCTTTAAAAGATCATTTTGGGTAATTCACAGTGGCTGTAGCCACAGAGAGATAATCGAATGTAGAGGGCACATGGTTTCTGTTGTGTCAGCAGCCCCAACAGGGTCTTCAGCCCATGTGACTGCCTCAGCTAGCTGGGCCATCCAGCTGGGATATTCGGATGACATAGCTCTCACTTGTCCTAGCTTTGCTGTCACTATTTTTCCCCCCTTCTCTGCTTCAGATCTCATTATAGTGATATAATTATACATTTTTAACTTTGTAATTAAATACAATTAAATATAAATATAATAAGATATAATTATACATTTTTTTAATTTATAAAGATTTCATCGCATCTTTCCTTCCTCTGGTTCCTCTATTTCTTTCTTCTGCCCCTTCTCCCATAATTTCATCTAAAACTAGAGAAGAATGGGGGTGCCAGGGTAGCTCAGTTGGCTAAGCATCTGACTCTTGGTTTCGGCTCAGGTCATGATCTCAGGGTCATGAGATCGAGCACCACGTTGGGGTCCATTCTCAGCATGGAGTCTGCTTGAGATCCTCTCCCTTATCCTCTTCTCCCCCTTCCCTGCTTGCACTCACTCTCTCTCTCTCTCAAATAAATAAATAAATAAAATCTTAAAAAAAAAAAAAGAAAAAACTAGAGAAGAATGGAGTGCCTCCCAGGGATAACCTATTGCATTTAAAATTAAAAGGTCGGGGGGGGCACGCCTGGGTGATTCAAGTCAGTTGAGTGCCCGACTCTTGGTTTCAGCTCAGGTCACGATCTCAGGGTTGTGGGATTGAGCCCTGCGTCCGGCTCCACGCTCAGCAGGGAGTCTGCTTGGGATTCTCTCTCCCTCTCCCTCTGCCCCTCCTCCCCACTTGCACACATGCTGGCGTGCACTCTGTCTCTCTTTCTCTGAAATAAATAAATCTTCAAAAAAATAAAATTAATAGTTGGATATCTTATAAAGAGGGAGCCAGCTTTTTTCCCTTCAACACTAAGAACAGGGTTGAACGTAACATTTGTTCATTTCAGTTCCTGGGCTGAAACTGGGCCTCCTGCATCTAGTTGGAACAGAGGTACGATGTGTGAGGGCCTCAGAGCCTGCACTGTGGCCGCAGATGTGCGGGAGAGCATGGGTTGGCGGGCAGTGGGCGGCCCTGGCTGGGCTCACTGTCAGAGGGGAGCAGCGCCCACCTGCTGTGCATCGTGATGCTTCTCTGCGGTCATAGGCAGAGCACATGTGCCTGGTGCTAAATGTGCGCAAGAGCTCCCGGATGCACCCAAAACTCAATCAAATAAAGACCTTGTTTCTCATTCTGCTGCCCCAGTTTCTCTCCAGCAGCTCAGCCCCAATGGTGGATCAGTAAAAGAGTTTTTCTACACTAGGCAGGCAGGTAAATAGTCATTTGGAAGATGAGTGGTCTTGTATAAGGATATAAATAATTGTTTGGTTTTTTATGGCAAGTCAGCCAAACAAGACGAATCTGGTAGCTTTTGTTTTTGAGGGTCCCTAGTGGGTTCCAGTCATTTTTGACCCTAGTAAAGCCTAGGTTCAAACCACCCCAACCTTTTCTGCCTCAACTGCTGCTTCCAGGCTTTCCCTGCTACCCTCAAGCCCAGCATTTTCTCTTTCCCATCACTTGTGTCTCTTCTTTGTTTGTCGTCTTTCTCCATTCCTCTCAAGGTAGGTGCGCTCCCAAGGTTTGATGCCCTTTGGACTTTTCTCCATAGTCTTTCCCTTTTCACTTCATTCCCTTAGGTGAACCTTTCTCTCCTTCCCCAAGTGTCCCTTGTTCTGAGTCTTTGGATCGAATTTTGAACTGACTGGCTGGACATCAGTTTGACAGTTGAGATAACACCTCCTCCCCTGAGCATCAGTCTCCTCACCTCTCCCCGCCCCCCCATTCTAACTTCCTTAGCACATCCCCTAACTTCTCTATTTCTCCTAATGGGGGGCCTCTATTGTTCACAGTCCCAAAGCCCCGAGTGTTATCTTTGACGCCTCTTTCTTTCCCATCACCCACATCGAATCAGTTGTGTAGACTTGTATTTTCTCCCTTGGTAAAAACGGAAATCTAACAAATGTAACAGAGATCAGTACTCAGCAAAAATCCTAACTCTCTCACTCATGAAAAATTATGCCAAACAATAGCTTATTTAGGCACCATCTGGCCACCTTCCTGATTGTTTTCTCCTGCAAATCACAGGATCCCTGCTTTACTCTATTTTCCAAGTTATGCCTGCTACCTTTCTCCCTCTGCTTTTGGTTTAAAGGTCCCGTAATCTAATCAAATGGAGATTTGGCCCAGTTGTCCTTAAAGGCCCCTTCCAACCCTAGGATTATACCTCCAAAAATATTGCAAACTAAAGAATTAAACTGATACAGATTCTCACGTTGGAGAAGAGAAGGAGAGAGGAAGAAAGAGAGAGACAGACACTGAGTAAGAATACACTCGGACACTACTCAGTCATCTGTATGCGAAATCAGTGGCGAAGTGAGGGTCTTTGGGGCCCCCTAGGAGTGCATAGGCACATCCTGGGGAAATGAATTCAGTCAGAGCTCAGAAATATTAGAAGGAGAGGGGTGGGCGGTAGGAGGGTCGGAGGCCTTCATGACATTGTCCAGTTTTTGGTCCCTCGAGACTCTGTCTTGGACTCCACTGAAGCAGTGGAGAGTAGGAAGATACTATTGTGTGGTAGGGCAGGTCTCTGGCCCACTCTTGTCTGCCACGGATTATCCCTCTGGGCTACTTGTGATGCCCCACTGGTAACCATGAACGTGCAGGTTGATGTCTTGCTTTCTGCAACCCTGCATGCTTCCCTTTAACTGTTGTTGATACTCCATTTTCTGCAAGTCTAGGCAGCCCTTGGCAGTCCCATAATTTGTTGAAGCCAGTAACCTGTGAGCTTCCCAGCCTACCTCTCTCTGGGTCTTTAAATACAAATCTGGGGCCAGAAAACGTTTACAAACCCTCATATCACTAACCTCATTATCACTGCAACTACCCTTTGTAAATGAAAACTGTAATAATGGGGCGCTGGGGTGGGACAGTCGGTTAAGCATCTGCCTTGAGCTCAGGTCATGATCCCAGGGTCCTGGGATTGAGCCCCACATCGGGCTCCCTGCTCAGTGAGGAGTCTGCTTGTCCCTCTCCCTCTGCCCCTCTCCTCAGGTCGTGCTCTCTTTCTATCTCAAATAAATAAAATCTTTTTAAAAAAAAAAAAAACTGCAGTAACAATGTTTGTAAACATAAAAAGACTTCCAAAAAATGGAGATTTGTTTATTTATTTTTTTATATTTTATTTATTTTTAATGGTGGAACCCAGTTTCTTCATTAGAGACCAAGATTCTTCCTCTAAGATCGCCCTGGGCTGACTGGCAGAGGTCAGGGATGGCAACAAGAGGGCAGACACTGGCTGCTATAGCTGGAAAGCTGGAGGAAGCAGATGCATTTGGGGGTCACGACGATGAACATTTGGGTCCCTGAGGCCTTCCCAACCCCAGCGCTACCTTGGCATACTCACTCCTTCCTTTGGCGGCATCCCGCATTCCCAGTAAGCTTGGGAGCGAGAGGCCAGGCCACACTTCTTGCAGCCTGACTTCTTCATGAGATCCAGCTGCTTCCCTGATTGTGGCCAAACCCAGGGCCACAGCTGAAAACTTGAGGACATAGGCAAACCTGTGAAAGGGGCAGAAGCCACAGGACCCATGCCGCTTGAGAACCAGTCTCTGTCCTGAACTTCTTATTTATTTATTTTTTTTAAAGATTTATTTTGGGGGGCACCTGGGTGGCTCAGTCAGTTAAGTGTCCTACTCTGGACTCTGGCTGGGCGTGAAGCCTGCTTAAGATTCTCTCTCCCTCTCCCTCTAAAAACAATAATAAAATAAAAAATAAATAAAGCTTTTATTTTTAAAGTAATCTCTGTACCCAATGTGGGGCTCAAACCCACAACCCCAGGATCAAGAGTCGCACTCTTCACTAACTGAACCATCCAGGCGCCCCTGTCCTGAACTTCTACAGCCCTTTCTAGCTAGTAAACCTAGCTAGGGCCCTTTGTTTGATGCCTTTCTTCCCCATAGCTGAATTATTTTGTGTTTAGCTGCATTATAAAGCCCTACTGGTTTTTAGTAATGCTTGGTGTGCATACCGGCTAATGTTTGCTGAGCTCCTGGGATGCAGGCTGGGAATGCATACCTGGCAGTGTTTGCTGAGCTCCTGGGATATAGGCTGGGTGGCAGTGAGATGTGCAGTCTCAGAGGGCGACTGCCTGGGTTTGATCCTGGCCCTGCTACTTACCGACTGTGTCACTATTAGCAGCTGTTTCACCTTGCTAAGCCTTTGTCCCCTCATTTGTCAAATGAGAATAACAGTGCACACCCCATTGGGCTATTACCAGGACCGATCCATGACCCACCACCTCTAGAAATGCCTCTGTAAATGGTAAACACTAATGTTCATGTGCCAGGAGGAAATGCTACTCTCCTCACCACCCATCCCCTTCCTGATTTGCAGACATCAAATTGAGGCCCAAAGAAGTTAAGTAAATGGCGGGATATATAGCAACATGGCAGAGCAAAGATTGATGTCTGGGAGGCCTGCTTCTTAGTTTAGTACCAATTAGTTTCCACTATTTCTAAGAACTGGGTTTTTTCTTTTTACCTTTTACGCCAAGTAAACCCCCTTTCTGATGCTCCCCTTGGTTCATTCTGCTATCCTCAACTGATATTAATTGAGCACCTACCTTGTGAGAGTATCATGACCAGCTGTGGAGAGCCAAAAGTTGACAGGATCTGCCCTGTGGAGCATGACCTATTATAGTGGTGGCAGATGCAAACAAGATATTCATACCCACACAATTAAGTCACAGTCATGGTTATGAGAGCCAAGCACAAGGTGCTGAGATCCTATAGACAGGGGCCCTGATCTCATCTGGGGAATCTGGAAAAGCATTCCTAAGAAAGTGATACTTGCACTGAGACCCTAAGGGTGGGATTCCAGGGTGAGGAGAGCATTCTGGAAGCAGGAGCAGCTCATACAAAGCCATGGACAAAGAACTGATCTAAGGAATGGAAAGAAAGCCAATGTGGCTGAAACAGAGAGACTGGAGGAAGAGCAGGAGGAGATGAAGCTGGAGGCAAAGCAGGACCCTGGACACGTAGGGCTGTGTAAAGACACTATCGAGAAGTCTTTGAAAGAAGTTGGCCTAGAAAGTGAACGATGGGCTATGTGCCCTTTCAAAAGATCACCCAGCCACTGTATGAAGGAAGGATAATGTGGTTTGGAGGACAAGGATGGGAATTGAGATACTGATGTATGGGCCGGGTTGGAAGCAGTAGAGATGGAGAGAAGTAAATGGATTTGAGAGGTATTTAGGAGGCCGACTTGACAGAACGTATTGATTGATTGATTGATTGATTGATTTTGGGGTGGCCGAGGGTGGGAAGCTGATTTGGGATAAAAGATGATCAGTTGCATTTAGGACATGCTGAATTTAAGGCATCCATGTGGCATTCCAAGTAGGCGGTTGTGTACGTGCTCTGGAGCTTGGAGGACAGGCCCGATGCTTCTGTGAGGACCAGCCGCTGATCCAGCCGAGACAAGTCCCGCCAGGTCTGGCCCATTTTCTCTGACTCTGGGCTATGTCTGTTTAAAGACTCTGATGTTATGTTTCTCTTTGGCTTTTCAGGATTCCAGCCAGGCAATTCCTCTGGTGGTAGAAAGCTGTATCCGGTTTATCAGCAGACACGGTAAGCAGGATTACAGCCTTGCCCATATTTGTGCAAAGTGGGAAAGACCTTCCAGGAATTCTTTGCAGAGTAAGAATAGAGGTTGACTTTTCATCCTGACATTCTCAGAAATGGAATAAAAGTCTTATTTGCTCACGTAATGTTTGCTACCTCAGAATGGTCACAGCTAGACACCTAGCGAAAGGCATCGTATGTTTTGACCCCAAAGGCCTCAGCCACTTACCACACTCCCTTTTCTAGCCCGAGAGCGAGGTTTAAATTACAGCCGTGATGTGAGTAAGTACAGCTGCTATGATGTGATGGTAGTTTCGCCGCTACTCACTGTCTCTGCACGTGTCGGAGTCTCCTGCCACACAGCCTGAATCCTTACGTCACACTGGCTTTCTGCATTAGACTGTTTTGAGAGCAGCTCCTTTTGTGATGTTGCACTGATTCCTGATAACATTCAGTTTTTGTTCTGGTTTGGTCTCACTGGATACAACATCAGCTGGAGCGCAGTGAGTAGTCGTTGGTCTTCACGTTGTAGCCAACATTTGAGAGTTTTCGGGGGCTGGCTCCTCCTCAGCCTGAGTCGGATCGCAGTATCTGCTGCCTGGATGAAGCTGGATCTCATAAACTCCATGCCTCACCAGCTCCCAGGCTGCTTGGACAAAATCTAGGGATGGAGATGAATGGCCAGAGACTCAAGCTTCTTTTTTTTTTTTTTTTTTAAA